CTCGGATTTTGTTCGCCCGTGTGGCACCGCGCGAATGGCAATAAATCTGAAGGCATTCGGGGGTAAATGCCATTTTTTCTGCCCGTGTGGCATGGGTATTAGTTTCAGCGGGTACCACTCCGTTCCGTCTGAAGACTCTCGTATTGGAACACTGCAGATCTTTGTGTGCCTATAGTCGCGACAGTGATGGCCCGCAATAGATTCTGGCAGATGAAAAGGTTCTTTCATGTTGTTGACAACACTCAGTTGAACGCAGGCGAAAAAATGGGCGAAATTCAGCCGTTTTACAACGAAATCTCCAAGTGTTTCCGCCAGTTTGGAGTGTTCAATGAAAGCCTCAGCATCAACGAGTCAATGGTGCCCTATTATGGCCACCACTCGTGCAAAATGTTTATTCGCAGTAACCCATTCGATTTGGGTACAAAATATGAATGATGTGCTCTTCGAAATAGGTACCCCTATGCGATGGAAATATATTGTGGTAGGAACGAGAAGGACGACAAGACACCTCTCGGGATCAATATGGTATCGATCCAATATGGTATCGATCCTGGAAGCGCCTGAACAGCACGAAGTCTACTTTGACAACTTCTTCACTTCGCACGGCCTCTTGACGAAACTGGCTGACCAGGGCATTCGGGCGACAGGGACTGTGCGAGATACAAGAACCGGTGGTTGTCCACTGAAGAGCTTGAAAAAAATCGAAAAGGAAGAAGAAGAGTTTTCCACTACAAGTGTGACGGGGCAGTCTACGCATGCATGTGGAATGACAATGCAGTCGTCACAGTTTCTTCTAACCACCTCAGCCGCGAGCCTGTTGGAAGTGCGAAACGCTTCTCACGACGCTCAAACAAAAAGGTGGACATTCCTCAACCATATTTGATCAAAAAATACAATGAGGGCATGGGCGGAGTAGATGTGATGGACCGCCTCCTCGGAAGCTATCGACCGAGACTGAGGAGCAAGAAATGGTGGTGGAACCTTTTCAGCAATGGTTTGAACATGGCTGTCGTCGCAGGATGGCTCCTCCACTGCGAGGTTCACAGGGGAAGTGATGCCGCCATGACGCACATCGCCTTTTGGCGGGACGTCACCCTGTCCTTGCTGCAGCTCAAGCAGAAACTCACTGCAAGACCTGGACCCCGGGTTCATCTGAGACATGAGGACAGAAAAACTGATGGCTACTACATCATCTCAACGACTCGGGGAAGGTGCGCGGAATGCTAGAAGAATACACTGAATCAGTGCCAGCAGTGCAAAAAGCGGCTGCACAAAATGCTTTGGCGCTTGCCACAGTTTGCGATTTGCTCACTGTAGTCAGCCAGTAGTAGAAAGAAGAAATTTTCGTAAAGTGTTGTTATAATATTTATACTTTTCAGAGACATCGTATGACACTAAATATTATTCTTCAGTCATCCTGAATAGGAAACCCGACTGAAAAGTCAATAAAAGTTGTTCCAAAGAAATGTGTGTTCGTGCATATGGGAAATGCAACGTTCCAAAGATGGAACATGCGAAAAACATGCTTAGTCATTGTGAATATGGCTGTATCTTGATCATAGGTAATTAGAAGGCCAATGCAAATTATCAACATAAAATTTTCGTTTGTTTTTTACCGCTCACCGTAGTGCAGCGTAACAAGTTTAACTTGTGCCACCAAGCCTATCACTCTGTTTCCAGCACACAATGCAGCAGGCAAACCCTGAGGTTAGCAATCATACAAACTTGCAATTTTTCTTTAAAGCTTTGCAAACAGCAGCAATAAACTTCTTTGCCACAAGCGCTTGAACTGGAAGGAGCAACTGCCTCAATTTCTATTGGTGAGCTGATACATTGATATCCAGAAACTTGGAAAGACCGCAGCACCTTCACTGAAACGGGTCGCCGACGCACATCTCCGGTTGACTTTATTTTCTTTGTTTTTTCCTAGCACCTTTATATATAAAATTGCACCAATTTACTGCTATTCATCGGTGCTTTACATCATCCATGCATACTCCAGTGCATTTGTGGTATTCACAATTGCTGCAAATAATGCGTAGCAAATTGTGCACGGTGCTATCTTTAAGCCCAGCCCTCTTTTATCGATATTTGCCATTGCCTTACGAGCTATACAGAGACTCTCAGTAAAGGGAACTGAAAGTACCGGGAAAATATGTTCCATTCAACAGGAGTCCGTTTACTGAGAGGTGCAACATGGTGGGTCAGAATACAAGCCCGAAACCAAGCATTGCAGACGGCAATAGTTCCTTTAAGCAGTAGCGTCGTTAACAGATTTCAGTCTACTGAGAGTCTACTGTATAGCTCGTAAGGCTATACATCTTCATATGAAAGGCTGCTGAATGGCTGTCTCAGTAAATATGTTTATTTACTATTTTTGCGTTTCGAAATGTCTTCCCAAACAAAGCATCTGTTGTAATCTAGACCAACAAAGCGAGTTTGAAGATTGAGTTGCTTGGTTTCATTACTAAATAGGAATAGTGCACCCCCCTAGAACATGCAAGTGTAACTAAATTGTTTTCTAATCCAGATGTATGTATGGTGTTACATACAAAATATATGCAATTAACTTTTCCAGGAACTATAGATTGCTATAGATTGCCGTAGCATGGTGCCAACCTTCAATTCCATGACGTGCTGCCATTATTCTGCCTTTCTCTAGTGCCTTTTATCTTAAGGTGCCATTGCCATGTCAAGTAATGCAGCTATTCCAAGTTGAAGCGTGTGATAACACCTATAGAAGGTAGTCAGCAAGTGCTGGTAAAGTACCTGTGTCCTAGTTTGCGTGTTGTCCAAATATGTTGTTGTCTTGATCTGACTTATCCTTGTATCAGTGCCACACACGTAAACATGTGAACTGTCTGTATCGAGAGACAATAAACTAGATATGTTGGAGAGGTTCTCGGCATGCTTATTTTTATGGTTAAAAAAGTTTTTATCTTATGTTTTCAGAAGTTCACCAATCATTATGAATTGAAGAAGTGTCAATTTTCTTGCACCCAATGAGACTGATTTGCTGTGCCACATTATCAGCTTGAAGACACCTGGTACACTTATTGAATTATCTGTATTCGACTTAATATACGTATTCAACTACCTATTATATATATATATATATATATATATATATATATATATATATATATATATATATATATATATAATATATATATATATATACGGCACAAATTAAATCATTCATTGCTATTATCAAAATTTGAAAGTTTACTTGTGCAAGGTTTATTGCATCAATTAACATTCATAAAAAAATAATGTTTATAATTGGGGCTCCTAGGGTTTGCGAACTGACGCCTGGAATGTTACATACAATATTGCTTCTCCCAGTCACTCTCCCGGCACAATATGCAGAGACGGAGAGGAGACTTTATGTATGTATTACGTTTCATTCGGAGATGAAATCTGGCTGAATCGCTTGGAAAGGGCTTGCGATCAACCTAGACTTGAGAATAAGCAGCCGTGGTGAAAATTTAGGGTTGAGAAGCTTCAATGGAAAACACAGTTTCTAAGCTTAACACTTTGACATCTTGAAGGTTACACAACTTGACACATCTTGATAAAATATTACAATTGATCTCAATGTGTGGCACTTCAGGTTGTCTAGATTACTGAAGTGTAATGACACATGCCCAGAACTTGCTTTGACGAGGAAGGGTGTTGCCAGAAATTTTTTTTCGAGGGTTTTCAACCATACGAAACACATGGAACCATGTTTGTGTCTATGTCTGTATGTGTGGATCTGTATATAACATGTGCAAAATTAAAAACTTTTGGGTGTTTTAAGCTCCTAACCACACCTTCCCACTTGGTACAGCACTGTTGTTGATATCGACCTTACCTGGCTCCCTGCTCTCCCCCCCCCCCCTCGTGCTCCTTTCTACATGAAAGCCTCTTGGACAACCCCTGTTACTGATTCGTACTGGTGTCACTGCCGTTGGTTGTTAATAAAAAATCGAAGTCGTCTGTGAGTGAAAATTTAAGATCTAGATGCAAATAAATAAATACAGATAAACTTGCTTATAACGAACTTCCGTATAATGAATTTTTTGATATAACAATGTTTTGTATTTCCTAATGTGTATTTGCGACCTCTATGTAACAAAGTAACAGTGGGAGACATCCTTAACATAACAAATTTTCACCATGGATTCTAGGAATTTTACCCTGGACTTTCGAAATTTTGGCCCGAGCATGCTTCTTCCGCGGTTGCCCCACCGCGGACAAAGCGTGGGGCGGTGGGGACCCTCACACGAGAGCGAGCGCTCATTATTGCACGTGTGGCGGGCAGGCAGGCCTGCATCAGTGATGTTCCTTGCAGGGAATTTTCCCTTTTTCAAGGAATTTTCGCCTGTCATTTTGGCCGAAGGGAAAAAGGGAATCTTTGTGATATTGCAGGGAATTTAAGGAATAGTTAAAATTCTCTTATGACGCCCAATAATTAGCAGTCACAGCGTGCCTTCACCTGCTCTAGTAGGCTCTGGCACATGCACCACGCAAGCATAGCCTTGGAAATTTGTTTCTGATATTTACACGGAGCAAATTCTAGTTCACTATTGGCATTAGACTTGAAGCCCACAATGTGCACTGTACTCACAGTATACAAAATAATAAAGTCATGCTTTTGGTGAGCGGCAGTGGAGGGGCTAGGCATGATTTCTAAAGTCGCCAGTATGTTAGACACGTGTAATTATAGTAGGTGTGTGCGTGGATGGGCGCAGAAATTAGTACTGTTATGTAGGGAAATATGCTGTAAATTTCATGAACGTTTGCAGGGAAAAATCCCCGAAGTAAGGAATTTCCGTGTCTCTGAATGGTAATCCTTTGGCGTAGTACGGAAACACTGCAGGAGTCCTAGAACTTTTTCTAAACAGCAATGAACCTTGTGTCAACTTTGAAATTTTTTATCACAACACGTGTCCGGACAGGCACCTTTTTGTGCCTGTCCGGACACGTGAAATGGCTAGTTTGACCTCCATCAACTCCCCCCACCCCGAACCTTTTCTACTCAGCAAATAGGAAAGCTACACCTCTGAAAGCATCTATGATGCCACTGTAACGAAAGTCTGAGCAAGAGCATCACGTTTCCTTTCAGCCAACCCATGGTGTGCGACATAAAAAGAAATTATTTCAAAGAGACACGCAGGAGGATGTGTGTGACCAGTTAGTACTAAGATAAGTAGCAAGTTATGTGACTGGGCCGTTGGTGTGAATAGTACATGATGTATTGCATAACAGACGCTTGTCTTCATTCGTCGCTCCTTTTCTCTTCTCTGTTGTGCAAAGTGCGCATTGAAATGAATCGTAGCTCTGTTGCTAATGTCGGCATCTGCAAAAAAGACTGACACGGTGACACTGATTTCTTAAAATGGCAATGTACACTGGTGTTTTATTTTTTGAAATAGGTAAACATATGTGCTATGTACATGAAGTTCCGTCTGCACCTACACATGATGTCAGCATGCAGACTTCCTTCGCAAGATGACCTTTCCTTTCAGAAGCTGAGACAGATGAATCTTGACCTTGCCGCTGTCGCTTGTTTTCTTCACCCAAAACTGTGCAGTAGACAGAAAGAAAGCAGTTGGAAGTTAGCATTACATCCTTTAGTCTGACCGGCTATGCCGTTTCTTTTACAGTGATGCATTGTACCAGTTTAAGCACATGGTCAGTTAATTACAGCAAACGTTCGAGCAGAGCACGGGAATAAAAATAGTACTACTAAAAAAGTTAGAATGAAATATATACGTGCTACAATATAAAAAACTACCACGAAACAAGCTAAGTTGTGCAGCCTATGCAGCATAGAAACTCTCAATGTTACTACACTTTAGCTGTTCATGTGCAGTAAAGCAATTTTTTTTCTTGAGCATCTAGGCACAAATCAAAAGGTGTGCACTTCATGAACACTATGCTGGAGTATATATTTATTTTGCGCAAACTCTATACTGCTCCATCAAACTGCAGGTTGTGTTATGTATAGTAATATATAGTATTCACAATAATTAGTTTATTCACAATTAATTTATTCACAATAATGTAGTCAAACCTCGTCATAGCGAAGTCATGTCCCTCCTCCTGAAAATGCCAACCATGCATCAACATACAGCGTAAAGTATGTAAAATAACATTCTCCTAGATATAAAAACAATGCATTTTGTACTATGATTTCACTAAACAAAGCTGTTGTTTCGGGGGAAGAGAGCACAATCCATGCTTAATGTCACATGAAAACTCGTTGCACTACTTCCAGTGTACGAGCTAAGGCGTATGCAGTGTTTTGGGCAATTAGTCGAAATTAAGTGATGCTAGACTATAGCACATCGTACGAGGCAAGATAAAGTGAAAGAAATGACCAAAAACCAGCCGTGTGCCACTACTCACTTCTGACGTGCCCACCCCTGAGATGACACCGAAGAAACGGCCCATATCTTTCGAATCCACGCAAACGGATTGGCCCCTTTGATAGCTGAAACAAAAAACAGAGACTGCATTGCAGCTTCATGTTGCTGAATCGTGATTCGAGGTCTCACCATTTCCGCTCGTAAAACAGTTTGCCGTCCTCTATTCGGGCTTCAATCGCGTGTGAGCCGTGGTCCATGTTTCCGTATTCTTCACCTACGAAAACAGGCAGAAGAAAAAAAGCAAGATTAGACATCCTAGCCCAAAGGGACAGCGCAGCTGAGAAGCTGCTTGATTTCACAACTCACAATCCAGTCTCTTGCTAAGCGATGGAGCCTTTCCCTGAAAGAAAGCATCAAAATAAACAATTTGTGACAAGCAAATCTCAATTTTGTCAACACTCTAGTTTGCTGAACCATACTCCCCCCACCCCTGCCAAGAAGCAAGAAAATTTTGCAAACCCTTCAGCGTGCCACTTAAGAAACAAGGCTCACAAAAGAAAAGTAACTGCTACGGCATTGGTAGGATCACGACTTAGTTCTAGAATCACCTCTAGCATCTCTCACCACTGGGTGCCCCGGAGTATGCACATAATACAGATAACAGCTGTCTTGTTGGCATAATGCGAGCAATACTGTTGGAAATTAGCTGACATATCTCTTGCCAAGCCACACAAAACCCTGTCAAAGTGATCATATCTCCGGATACAACTTCTCAAAGAAAAAAACCAGCCCAGGAGCTGTTCCAACTAGGTACCATGATCAAGAAGCTGTGGGCTTACCCCCAACCCCGTATTACGCTCCACTCAACACTCTGTCTCGACTCGACAGAAAGTCGATGGCAGCGCCGCCCCTCAACGGAAGTGGCTCCTGCACTTCATTGGCATCCCAGAGCAATTCCTGGGAGTGTAGAGTTTTCTCCTGTCAGGGGTGAAGCAGCATTTTACTCGATGGAGTGAAGGAGGCGCTCAACAATATGCGAGCTAGTGTAGGACAGAATGGAGAATGCTTGACAAGATCTGTACAATAACGAAGACTTGATAGCATGGATGAATGTGAATGGTTGATAGCATGGATGGTTTTAAATAGACACTTCCTTTCAGACTGTGTGCATCATGTAGATGTAGTAAGTGTAACTGGCTGCAACACATCAACTTGAAGGCAGCAATGACACCATCCCAACAGTATTAGGCAGGGTTGTAAGCCAACGGGAAGAAAGTGTGAGGGTAGCATGAAAGAGAACTATCACTTTGCATACCTTGCTTAAAATCTTTAGGTCGTCAACTATTTCACCATCGTACAAGAGGAAGTTAAGCTGAGGTGCCAGCGTTAAGGAGCAATACCACATCATAATAGCACTCAATATAGCACACAGTGATTAACTAAGGATGTGTATGGCCACCACATATTGATAAAAGCAACACTTTATGAAAAACACCCATGGAAGAGAAAGTTGTCATCAAGCAATTGACTAGCAGTACAGCAACTGAAAACTAGCAATTGAGTATAACTGCAGTACAATATTTCTAGCAGTAATTACTGTGCTGTTGAAACCTATACCAACTTTATAGTAATTTAAGTGAAATGATTGTAACAAACATAGCTCACACGATGACTGCATCATAAACAAGTTAACATCATGGTCACTATGAAACTTTCCCTCGTACAGCTCGTGCAGTAAAAAGCGCGTGACACAGTTGCATGAATTATTGTAACTGGAAAAATAAAACAAAAACATGTCTAATGAAAGTATTTGAAAGGATATTAGGTGAAGTCTTTCGCCTCTTTTCAGGCATTGGAAGCGGATCGTTAGGTCTTCTGCGTAGTTTTCTCGTTGTCACAGATTTCACCTCCATGGAATCTGCGCACCACGGCAAGCTGGAACCTTAAATGAGACAATTTTAGTGCAGCTGGCAAAGAAATGGCAAGCAAGCAGGCAAACAGAAACAAAAGAAAAGCAAAACTCACAGTGCAAAATAATTGAAAGCAAGATTCATGCACTACAAAACCGATATAAGATGCAATAAATGGTAACAAGAGCATGAAGTTGGATGTCTTGGTAATACATAACTAATCACTGAATGGTGGACTGAATGGTTACAATAGCAGTGGTGCAGTGCTTAGACAAGCACAAGCTCAACAAGCAGAAAGCATACCATTCGGCACTGGCATAACAACTCATTTTCACTACAGTTTCAACCAGTTAAAATGCCATGCATAGGTAGTCTTGCATAGAGGTGACAGCAGAGAGCTCAATGTTTGTAACAACCTATGGCTTAGCCAACTTGTACTGTGCGTCTTTTGGACAAGGGCAGAGTCTGGTATGCATTCGGTATTGCTTAAATTTTCGAGAGCTCTTTCCGCATCACACGTTTGGCCAGACAGCAGCAGTCGACAACGAATCATCATCTTATGTTCGATTCAGCAAATAGAATGCAAACGTTCGAAAACTAAACAAGAACCTAATGTGCACAAGTGTGTGCTACTGCTTCAGATATCACCCAAAGATAACACTGTAACCACCAGAACAAAATGCAGCCCTATTTATCACACTCAAACATACTCCATAAATTATTATAGCAGCAATTGTAGCACCCAAGTTGATCTCCGTTAAAGGGGTACTGACACAAAATTTCGTGGCTGAGATGGCCTGCGAGATCTATTCTCATGAACATGCGTATATCGCCTGCAAAATATCAACAGAAAATATAGCTTGGAAGGTATATTAAATTAATTTTGAAGATTGTGCGAGCGATCGACTCTATCACACTATTGACACCCTCAAAAGGGACCCTTGAGAAACCCCTACTTCCCTCACGTGACCGCGCTGCAGCAAGTTATGACGACGCCATAGCCTCCACTTTTTTATTTGGTCGCGTGTGCTCCAGCATACTATTACTCGGCAGTTGCTCGCGAGTCCGCGGCACAAGGGTTGGAGGTTCCGTGTTTGCTGACATTGCCACCTCATTTCCTTTTCGAAAAAACTTGTTTATGCGAGCCGCGGGAAAGTGCGTTACAGTTATGTGTGCTGACATGGTCGAGCGTTGCACCCAGTGGCTTATTGTTTTTGAAACCCAAACTGACACTGCTCAATAATAACGAGCCTGTAATTAATTATCTGTCACATGCTGCAGAAAACGATGTGCCGGGTTATGGCTGACAGACCCCGAGGAACTTACTGGAGCAAAAAAATGCGAGGCCAAAATTTTTGTGTCAGTACTCCTTTATTAATAACATAGTATCCACCCTCCTTTTAGAGAAGACTAACCGCATGAACAGTCATTTCTTTTCAGTCAGATGAGAACACATCGCTCGCATATATAAAACGATTCATCGGTGCCCAAAAGTGCCTGATGGACGAGTTCTGTGGCTGTAAAAATTTTCTTTCGTTCTCATAAAAGTAAAGGTCAACCAAAACCCCCTAAAGAATACTTTAGCACAGTGGATTCTAGCATTCAGTTCACCGACATTCACAGGTTCACCGACATTCACAGCTGTTCACATACATGTAAATATTTAAAATTACTGAGAAAACCACCAGGCTCAAGTTGTACAATTTTGCTTGTAATGTGGTATATATATTGACGGTGCCAAGTTCAGGTGGGCATTTCAAGAAGAATTGTGCAGATACTCAAGGGGCATTGACAATCGCATTGTCTGACACTTGAAATTTTATAAATATGTATGTTGCCAGCGCAACCTGGTGACAATACCATTCCATACTTGCCCTAGCTGCGTCTTTCATATGTTTAAAGGAACACTAGAGGCAAATATTAAGTCAAAGTTTGATGAAATAGTGATCCAAGAACCTCGCATTGTTACTTTTGTGCCAAGAAAGTGCTTACTTTCAAATAAAATCACGTTTTACTTATCCAGAACTCGTTATCACACTTCAAATTACCCGAATTAATACTGTTTTTCTGACGTCACTGTTGCCGTGCCTAACGTTGCCCGCTTTTACTGCACGGTTGCCAACACTAGAAGCAGCAGAACAAAAGTAGCGGGAGTGACAGCAGCAACAATGGCCATTGAAAAATTTTCTGCTTGCTTGGTTCAACCGGGCACCGCAAGATGGCACCACCTATCCAGCCTAACCAGGCGAAAACAGAACTTTCGAGCCACTCACGCCATTCCCCATAGCAACGCCAGGAGGTTCTTTTTTCTATGGATCAAACAGAAACAGACAAGCAGCATTTTATTACATGTTGCAATGCACGGAATGATCTTTTTTTTACTGTAGCAAGATTGATTACCAGTGATTCATTGTATTCGGTTGCTCTCACGTCATTGGTGTCATTTTAAAAATATCCTACTCGTGGTGCATGTGATGTCATACATTTATTTTATTTCTCGATTAGTAGAGCACTGCTATTCATTATATTAACATTTTAGACATTTGCAAACATTGATATCTCACTCTGACCAAACATTCATATTTCACTCTGACTTAAATCGTTATTTGTCTATAGTGTCCCTTTAAAAGTGCACTCATTTGTGTATGAAATGACATAATTTTGTTTCGGATCATGTCTTGTTTATCTTCAGATAGATGAACCTAAACCTGCGATCCCAGTGAGTTTTAGATAACGCAACTATTTAGCAGTACAGCAACAACACTTTTGGCTTTTGTGCGTCTCTCAGTGAGTCTCTATTTAGTCATGGTTGTGCTAAATGCATGCAAATGCTGTGGTACAGTCGTACAGTATCTGTTATTACTGCATGCGATAATTATGCTTCACTCAAATGCACATAAGGACATCATGTTGGGGTAATCAACGCTTTTGGTGTGCACATCGGCCAAGTCACCTGCTCGCACGACGATCGCACCGGCCTACATACCAATGGCACTGGCTTTTAAAAGAGCCCTGCAACACCTTTTTGAGTTACCACTCAACGACCTTACTGCTGTATGTTGCCTACCACCTAACATCCACAAAAGGTTCTCTAGTTTTAATCAGCCCCGTACATCACAATAAACATTCTCATACTAATCAGAGAGCATAGTTCCTATGCACACCAACTAATGCTAACACTTCTCTTTCGATGACCACAAACACTGACTATGCTGGCGTGACTGATAGTGCAAACAGTAGTGAGCGAATGCACAAAGTGTCTTCTAGCTTCATTGAGGTTTCACAATGTTCAGATGCCACTTCAGGTGCAATAAGACCAGGGATGCCGGTTGTGAGCACCCCATAAAGCAACAAGCAACCACAGCTTGCCCAACCTTTGCAACTGCCACGATTTAGTTGCTGGACTTGCACAGATTGCGTGTGCGTGCCACCTCTAAGCAGGCCATCTAGAGGAAGAGATTCACATTTCACCCTCTCTCTTATTGCACTCACTACATTCCTTCTTTACTCAGACGTACTCACTGCGTGATTTCTCTCAACCTTGTAGGCTACCTCCAGCACTGTTGCTATTGCAACAATGATTGGCTCAAATGTCCACAGTAGCCATGGCTACAGGTCGGCAACATTTTTCTAACTCTGTTCAAACAGTGTTGCAAGGTCCATTTCAAGAGCCAAAGTGCATTGTCACAGCTTTTTGAATCATGCCAGGGAGGCTACATTTCTTTTCAGGCAACATGACAATGACACAGTATACATGCCACTGCCATCGCCTAAATGACAATGACACACAGTGCAAGATGCAAGCCTACCTCCAGTGAGCTCGACGGTGCTCCTCTCCGCTTCTATCGCACGCCGTTTCTCTTCCAGATCCATTATGAGCGATTCACGCAGGTCTATCTTCTTCTCTTCAAATTCCCGAACAGCTGCTTTCTTCTCATGCGTGTATTCTCGCTCCACGCGCTCAACCTAAGATGGCGGATTGCAAGAAAACAAAAGGAAACATTGAAGAGCCAAAGAATGGCAGTAGATCTAACAATGATTGAGACAAAAGTTTGTTTTATGCTTAATTTCCAAGACAGGTTGGTACAAGTGTGCTACTGTTTGCACTGGATCCTGTCAAATTGTGGTACGAAGAGACGATACTTGATGTAAGGAGTCACTGAATGCACAAAGTAAACCTGAAATTTTCCCCACCGGTACTTGTGCACAACAAATATGTCATTAAGCTAGTACCACATTTCGTGAAAGCGTAACTACGTAAGACTCCATAATAAAAGTGGCTTGATTGCGTACAACAACAAAAAAGACAGATTACTGCGTTTCTTCTCGCTACTTCAGGAAATAGCTGTTATCAGAAAATGTATCAAGACATCCCATGTAGAACTTATTAAACTGTGATCGTGCATTATGCAGTGCATCCTTCCAATTTTCAGTGCACTATCCTCAGTACTCGGCAGATCAGAAGACAACAATGTTCAAATCTCGGAAAACACTGCTGCTTGACAAAGGGCACGGTGGCGGCGGACACTGACGCACCTCGTGAGACTGGAACACCTCGTTCAGGAAAAGCCGCTCTTGGTAGAGTTGCTCAATCTTGCGCAAGCGTTTGAGGTACTCGGGGTGCGTTTCCTCCTTGAGCTGTGTTAGCTGTTTCTTCAGCATGGCGAGCTTGTCCCTGTACATTCTGAAAGTAAAATCAGGTTGTCCCAGATCAAACAACTGTCCGGTGTTCAAGCTAGGCATTGCATCAGTAGAACCATGTCACTTGTGATTCAAACAACTTTGCTTGTTTGCCTTAAACAGGGCTAAACAGCCCTGCGAACCCACAACTGTACAACAACATGGACAGACAGCACACAGGTAAGAATGGTAGGACGAGTGCTCGTCCTCAGTGCATTTTAAGACTAATGTGCACAAGCGCTTATAAATGGCTACTAAAAAGAATATTCAAGAGATTTTGCCTGATTCGTGAAATGAGGGTAAGAGAAGCTTGGCGTGCCCAATGTACTGATTTTCTTTCTTGATATAGCATTGCACAATGCTCTCTCCTAAATGTTTTGCTGCTCAATGGATTTTTATCTGCACACATAGCAGTACAACATTTCAATTGCTACAGGCAACAACGATGGTCATGCATTCACACCCAGGCATGCGCAGGGTTACGACTCAGAAGGGGGCAATAGTTCACTGCGATGAACCTTCAGCTCCTTTGATGGGGAACCCTGCAGACGCTTTTGCTCGGTCATTAACAAACACGTTATTAATGAATGACAAATGTGCACTGGGAAACGTGATGATCAATAAAAAACAAGCTACATTTGCTAGAAAAATGCAAATGAGCTCAAACAAAATGCAAAAAGTGACAGGAATATTTTACAAGTGAGTTGGCGAGAAAATAAGCCCAAATCTGCTTATTATAAGTGTAACTGGCCACTCCTATTGAGACCAACATTGACATCAAACTCAAATGTATCGCAGACATTTCCCAACATTCTCATCAACCAAATGTCCTCTTTTGGTATGCCAGAATAAACAACTTTTAAAAAGATCATTGAACATAAATCACCACTTATAAACTCTTTGTTTTCTTTCCAAACTTCACAGAATTTCTTTGGCAATTTACGATGTTAGGGCACAGCACAGCAACAAAGATAAACGCAAATATGCTTCAAGTTCACCACCTAACGAGAACAAAGCAACTTTCGAGGTGAAAAGCAATACATTAATATATGATACAACAGCACGGCCTTCTGTGGAACCACTGTACAAGTAATCGGGAACAAAAACAGAAAGCGATGCACTCTGTAAAGCAGCTAAGTAGAAAAAACAATCGCTCCAATGGACAGGGACCCCTATTGGGAATAATGCAGAATACAAAGCTTTGTGATCTTCCCAACATTTTCTTTTTAGGAAACAAAGATTAATTTACATAAAAGCACAACACTTGCTTGGTTGACTTCTCAAAAAAAAGAAGCAGATACTACGGAAAAATGATGCGCTGCGCCTGCAAGGTACTACGAGAAAAAAAAAATACGAAAAACACCCAAACTGACATTACATTTATTTTAGTCCACGCAAGCGGTTCTTTCGTGCGCGACCAACCAGCTGACGTTACGCACAGCAACGGCAGCGCCCCGCACGGCGTAAAGTGGCCGACAGTAATGTAGATGCTATGACGTCATCAGCCACGCTCAGCATTTGCGCAGCTGTAAAGAAGCTTCACAGTGTCGAACAGCTGCTCACACCGTCTCGCGTGAGTGCGCTGCGCAATAAAACGGTCGCAGTAACCGACGCAGCGTTACAGATTTTTTCAAGATGGACACATGCGAGCTTACTGTTCCTTGATTTCGGTGCACTCCTCTTCGCGCTGCTTGACCATGTCCGTCTCGCTTGCATCTTCGGTGTCTGCGGAGGGAAAACAACACGAACCACAATTACACGTCGTCATACCACGAAGTGCTCCGCGGATCAGACACTGCACGAACGTACTGGACCCTAGCATGCTCAGAAGTTAAAGCTCTCGAGTGAGTGCCACCGAGTCCACTGGGTTATCGGCTCGATTCTACCTGCAGTCAAATGTTTTACACCGAAGCGTTCGCCAAGTCCTAAACACACTGGTCGACGATTGGAAGCGCAACAATGCACACAAAACTACCAACCAACAGCTTGAGTTAGAAAAAACGACAGTTGAAACCACTTCAAAATTTTTGGACATGGCTCCCGCGGCCACGCTTAGACTGCTTTTTTTTTTTTTCCCCTTCGAAGTCGAGATGCATCGGCACTCGGTCAGGCCTGCACATGGGTTGCTGTAATCTCGCGTACCCGGGAAGTAAAAGAGAAGGAAGAATAGACGCACATGAGGGCGGTCATTTTGTTTACCCACCTTCGTCCGAATCCCTATCGTCGTGATCGAGTAAGTCGTCGCAGTCGATGCTGTTGTCATCGTAGTCGACGTCGTTGCCGCTTTCTTTATGCATGGATGCGAAATCTGCCAGGTCTTGCAGGTACATTACAACGAGATCGCTCCGGGTTTCTAGCTGCCTTATTATTGCGCGGATAGAAACAACCCGTTGCGCAAGAGAACTGATATGCACATGAAGACGAGAAAAATTAGCAAACTCGCCCGAAACGCTGACCGAAGATCCAAGTTCGACCACGGAACGACAACAAATGCTACCATTGGCTGAAGCAAACTGCGGCACGCAAAAGGTCTGGTGACGTCAATAATATCAATTTTCCGTTAGACGTTAAGTGATAAAATGTTTCACTTCAAAATATAACTATTTTTAACTTTTTTAAAATTAATGTTTAATAACGAAAGCGTTCATTTGCAGTTTTTGTTTTGATTCTAAAGATAATTTTGTTGACAAAGCTCGCGCGTTCTCGTTTATCGCGAGAAAACGCGACGGGGAGGCGACAGCGATTGCGCAGCAAAAAACGTCTTCGTGTACTTAGCGTTCCATCGGTGGCAATCCTTCGACATCATGTCTTTCCGAGGAAACGAATGCAGGATCTACGTCGGAAATTTGCCCCCGGACATCAGGAGCAAGGATATTGAGGATTTGTTTTACAAATTCGGCAAGATAACTTTCATCGACTTGAAGAACCGTAGGGGTCCGCCATTCGCTTTTGTTGAATTCGACGACCCCAGGTAAGCGTCCTACGTAATCTTGTAGGCGCGCGCGCTGGTGCATTAGAATTTGCTTGACTTGAAAGACTGCAGTAAGTGGTAATTAACAGCTTTGTTTTTGCTGCGGGGCGGCACTCGTGCTCATTGAGCTGTTTCAAGGTTTCGGCCCGAGCACCACCCTTGCCCTATTGTTTTGGTGCTCTGGTCTAGCGCTGTTGTCCTAGATATCCATTGATATATTTTTTTCCCGCGTTGCATTGCTTGGGTAGCTGCCTCTTGTGACTCGCCTTGCTGTCGCAATCTTTACCGCGAATGCGGGGGCTTGCGCGCGTTTACTTCAGAAATGTCGGAACTGTGCCATGACGAAGCTCGTGGAGCACACACAGGCATTTGACTGCTATGTGTGCATTGTAGAAGAACATTGTTTACTGCAGATGTAAGCATATTTTTTCTGTTGTAACGCAATTTTGCACGTCGTCAGACTTACAGCAGCCTCTAGCGTAACTTTCGCCAGTTCAGACAGATAAAGCGACTGCGTACCACCCCCTTCTATATTGCTATCAGTAGTGGTAGGAGAGCAGTCTTTTTTCTTTCTGTCTATCGATATAGCTGGACGGCCGCTGTTGCTGGCTGCAATTACGGAAGATGCCATCGCGGCATTGTTCGCACTGCAAAGAGCGTGGACGGAAGCGCCTTTTATAAAATAAGGGACCCGACATGGCCGAGTTGCAGCTGTTGCATTGGACAGCTGGGTTGTTTGGTGTTGGACAACGTGGACAACGGTGATTCGCAACACGAATGACAGCGCATCGAATAGGTGTGGGTCGAGAAAACTAAATTAGGAGCCGCTCGCTGGGAATGATTGACATGCGAAGACCGAAGATGGGGGGGAGGGGGGGGGTGTATTCTGGGCGAATCAATTTCAGTCAATTGCATATCTCCCAAACCTTGAAGGGCATGACGAGAAGCTCGTCGCTCCAGACAATTTGCATTTTTGTAACTGGATTACCCAAGGGCGTCACGCGAATAATGCGCGCTTACGAGATCAGTGGGACGCTGGGACTGTACCACATTCTGCTTTGTGAAATACTTTGCAAGTACTTTTTCGTCTCAAATGAGAGCCACGATTTGCTGTCTTAAATGGAAATCTCTTCGCAGCTGACCTGTGCATGCGTGCTTGGAAATGGTAATGCAATACTGTTGAGAGGCAATGCCTTATCATTAAAGGAGGAGTAATCGGCAGCACTGCAGCCCATAGAGTGGTTTTTCACATTCCAGTAGATGTGTTGGCCCATATCAGTTTCCTACATTCTTTGCCGAATGGCATTCTCCTATGACCGTGGGCCTAGGTGTGTCCGAACTATACTGTTCCAAAAGTTCCATCAGCACTGTGGAGGCTACAGGGCGCCCCAGTCAATAGGAAAGGCAATTAGCCCCTCCACATGTATTCATCTGTGCCGTGTCGTCTGCTCGCCTAATTGTCCTTGCACGCTCATTTCATCTAACATGGATAGTTTATTAACTTTTAAAAAAATAAGTAAAACTGCCAAACAAGCCATTACACTTCAACTTCAGGAAGTTTGGCATCTCAACAATGACTTGCGGCTCTACTGAACATGGGTAGATGCTCATGCCAGAGGATAACTTCACTTTCACGCTCTTCGTGGCTCTGGCATGACTGCTTCTCCATCGAAGCATTTTCTCAGATCTCCCGCAGCAATGCTTCTTTTGTATCTCTTTTTGTTTCACCGAAAGTGCATCCAACACGTGCAGAACGCTGTGCGAGGTCGCATGTCTGATATTTGGAGATGCAGCGTTGTTCTGGCGACACAGCCCAAGCCCTGGCCTCTGCGCATTGGGCTTCTCATATACGGCTACACAAGCAGCATATCTCGCTTATAACGATCAAACGTACTTGATGCTTCATCCTCATAGCAAGATGAAACAAATCGATGGCTGATTTCACAATTTCAGAGCAAGATGAAACAAATCGACGGCTGATTTCACAATTTATTTGTTGCTATCAGTGCTGTGGAGATTTAGTAGGAGCAAGTTCAGATTGAATTGGGTGGTCGCTTCTGCATAGGGGCTGCCATGTTGATTTGTAACCATAGTTCCTGCTGGTAAATCGACACAAGTAAATAAATGCGATGAAGAAAAAAAACATAACGTGTATTGATTTAGCGCAACACACACCAAACAAATGCCAATTTTAAACAACCCTGCCATTTTCAAGGCACTTATATATGGAACTACGTTTCACTGTGCAGCCGTGTGGCTTTCTTACACACCGCAGCTTTGGTAGTGCTGAACCAAAGTGGTGAAACGGTAGAGCTGGGTTTTCGATGAAGTGTGTGCATTGCTGACTAAAAGTAGATTATGATCACTTGCCACTGGCAGCGACCACGGCGTTTCTTCATACCACCGAATGTCCCGCGTAACGGGCCTGTTTGCAAATAAGTCATATCCATATCCGCACACAACATAATTGCTCTGGAAGCGCATTGTTGTGTTCCTTTTCATATAGCTGGAAACTACTTTTTTTAGGTACTCGCACTGTTTATCGTACTTGGACAAACTGAACACACCACAAACATGTAATGTAACAGATGTAATGCCAACTTGTTCCTGTATCTGCTCTTGGTACGTTTTGTGGCATAGCACAGAACAGACCCCTTAGCCAAACAAATTATGGTTATAAACTTGCAGTAATGATTACATCACTTTCTGTTAATTGTAAGTGTTGCCTGATTTGGTAGGGTGTTTCTTAAAGGGACAGTCGACGATTGTTGAAAATAGCGGTCCAAAAACCTCGCAGTGTTACATTTGTGCCAAGGAAGGGCTTATTTTAAAACAAAATCTTGTTTCAGTATTCCGTAACGGGCTGACTCGCTTCAAATTACACGCCTCAATGTAACGTCTCGCGTCGCTGTTGTGCACATTGCCCAGCTTTAATGTGCGACCGCTGAAAAGTAAAAGGGAAAGTAGCGGGAGCCACAGCATCAACAACGGGCATTGAACAATTTTTAGCCATGGCCTTCAAAATGGCAGGCGTGCTTGGTTTAACTGGGCCCCGCTAGATAGCACAAGCTGTCCAGTTTAACCGGGCGAAAGTTGTACTTTTAAACCAGTCGTGCCATTTCCCCATAGTAACGTCTGGCAGTTCTTTTTTTTTCATGAATCAGAGACGAACAGGCAGCATTTTATTACATCTCTTGATGCTCGGAAGGTTCTTTATTTAGTGCAGCTAGATAGATTACTAGTGATTAATTTTATGCGGTTGTCTGAAGTAAATATCCTTTTGAAATTTTCCTACTGCGACACATGTATCTCAGGCATTTACCTGATTTTATCGGTAAGTAGGGCACTGTCATACATTGAGCTTTCACTGACGTGAATTATTTGACTTTATTCTCTCTTGAATTCGCGTCTGCTGATATTCTGCACGTCAAGTTAGCGCTTCTTTCTCTATCCTTAAACCATGCTTCTTCATTACAGTGCAGTATATCGGTGACATTTTTAAGGCGGTCGCACAACTTCCAGAATACAATCTGATTTTACTTGACCACTTTGCTTCTTTTTCTGTGACAGAGATGCAGAAGATGCGGTGCAAGCCCGAGATGGCTATGACTATGATGGCTACCGCTTGCGTGTGGAATTCCCTCGGGGCTCTGCACCTGGGCGAGGCAGCATGGGACCTGGCAGGGGCAGGGGTCCCCCTGCCCGGAGGTCTCAGTACAGAGTTCTTGTTTCAGGTACGTAGGGTTCCTAAGTGCAGCAGTCATCAGACACTCAAGTTCCAGGGCCCTCATCTGGTAATAACACCAGATTTCGCCTACGTTTTAGCGTGCTAGCAAGATTTTAAAAATTGGGGCAGCATTTCTTTGCTCTACCATCCAGTATCTGAAATGTGTTGCTATTGGAAGACTGTAGCTGTGCTGCATTTTACATTATCTGGGCAAGTTGGCTTACTGTATATGCATGATCTGACATCTGAATAGGTGTTTCATATGTGATAGCGTCAGACTGAATAAACTGTGCGGAAGATATGGGAAGAGCATGTTTCATGAACTTGGCTTGCTTGGAATTCCTGCTTAATTTGCCATTTCTGCCTTATAACCTGGTTTATGACAACTAACTGGCTAGGATTTCATTCAGTTCTCTTGAGCAACATTATTTTTTTTACTTGTTACAGTGATTTCAAGTTGTAAATGCACCTCTTAGTTTCACTTAGTGAGCCTTGACAGTGCTGTTTTGTAGTATTCAACAGGCTTCATACCCGATGCAAAGGTTTTTTTTTTTTTAGCTGTATGTGAGGAATCTGTATCTGCTTATTTGTGTAGGTTTGCCCCCTAGTGGCAGCTGGCAGGACCTGAAGGATCACATGCGGGAGGCTGGTGATGTTTGCTATGCTGATGTGTTCAAGGATGGTACTGGTGTTGTGGAGTTTCTCCGATATGAGGACATGAAATATGCTGTCAAGAAGCTGGATGACTCGCGCTTTCGGTCCCATGAGGTGAGATAGACTTGTTGGGTTATCAAATGGAGATTTTGTTTGAGTAAAATGCCATTTATAGCAGTTCGTGCTTCTGTAGGGACTATTTGTCGCAGAACGGATTATTTTTACAATTCGCTATAGTTGTAAGGGTGTTCGTCAACTTGGGAACCCCCAGTGCAAAATTTTCATTGTGATAGCCACGAGTAGCATGCAGACGTGGCATCAGTAATTAGTAAACTAACTGTACCTAGGTTGAGCTATAGAATAAGACAGAAGCCGTGTACTCGGATTTGGGTGCACGTTAAAGAACCCCAGGTGGTCGAAATTTCCGGAGCCCTCCTGTCACGCACTTCTGGTGAGGCCCCGCCGATCCAACATCGACGTGCGGCAGACTCGCAGGCTTCCGCTTTACGCTTCGGCCTGCGACGCCTGAAAGGCCTCGAAGTGGCACATTTCGAATTTATTTGCGGGTTGGCCGACCCGTGCGGGGTTGCACGTGTGGTGATGTGTGGGCCTGACCGACGCACTCATAGAGCAGACACAGAGTTTGATTACACTTAGACAAACATTTAATTGAAACAGGGGCCAAGGCAGGAGATTACAAAAATAACAAGGAGGAAAAACTGATACGCGCGATAGAAACAACAGCTATATAACAAAAGGTGCTAAAAACACTACAACAGATACAGGCTAAGGACAAATATGCGGAACATTATAAAATAACAACAAGATGGAAATCAAAAGAGAGAGACACTATAAATTAATTACAGAATGATCATGGTGGCGCTTTAGAATTTAAACGTGCGACGCAGCGCACACTACAAATATTTAAAAAAAAGGCTGGTTAAAACAAGTTTACGGTTTAACAAAAAAAGTCACAATAAAAAGTTCCATACGGACCAACCAGCCCTTGGTGCACGTAGGGGAGTTGACGGGTGCCGCTGAAGGTCTCGCCGGCTTGGTAGACGACGAGGGTGCCCGGAATTGCAGCCGTCTCAATACGTTGCGCGGGTCACTCCGTGCTCGCCGCCTACGCGAGACTCGCGACACCGACGACCGCACTGGTTGCTGTCTGTACGTCAACTGCCTATGCCGATGCAGTCTAAACCTCTTCAGGGGCGTACACGTGTTCCCGTCTCATCTGGGAGTAATTCTCCTTGTTGAGACCACCGGTTCCCCTTCCGGTCAGGGGCAGGGAAGACGAGCCGGCGCCACACTGGGTCGTTATAGTCGCCGGATGTCGTCTCCCAACACAAAAACGCCCTTCCTTGGAAGATGGGGCCCGCGGATGCTCCGAAAATTGGAGTCGTTTGTGACATAGCCCCCTTCTTAAGAATATTACTTCGTAATGTTCAAGGAAATCACAAACGCTCGATGTTCGAGAGCCTGCCGTGTTCCGGTTGCCCACCAATGCGTTTTCTTTTTCGCGCGCACCATTTCGCTGACGTGGACGACATCGCAGAGGACACCTGACACACTACGCTTCACGGTCACCATACGATGAATGTCATAACCCGCGCACCACGACACGGACACACACATGAAACACGAAAAGAAAGTCTCAAAAATACGGCACGATTCAAGGAAAAGGCACGTAGGCATTCTTTCATGGCACATATTAAAACAATACACGCTTTAAGTGGTATTGAAAAGTCACTTATTGACACGCAGCTTTCAGAAAGGATGAATGAAAAATTATTCGGAATGATCGCCTGCGCGCAGTTCCTGAACTTACTGTCCACTAAAGCGCTCTATTTCAAAATAATAATAGAAAGAAAAGTCTTGAATAACATAGCGCCATGTTTGTGCACTCATGCGTACCGTAATTTACTTCAATTGTACGACCAAGCAGTACCTTAAATTAAAAGTCCAAATAAATAAAATAACAACGTCCCTAAAACAAAGCTTTCCAAGCTGAACGGGTAATAGGTTGAAACAACAGAACATCGTCTACACACACACAGACGACACAAGAAAACCAAAAGATTAACTAAGCTATTAGTCCCCCCATTCATGGAATGAGCCTAAATCAAAAGACATAAATGAACATTGTTTCAACCCACAAGTCATTTGCCTTTAAGGTCACCTTTGAGTTTCTATGTACGTAACCTTTATCCGTGCTCGAGGTGGTCGCGCTCTTGGGGGAGCCGTTCGAAACAAACGGGGCGGACAAAAGCGTGTACGGCCGCTACACGGACGCCTGTTTCCCGTTGGTCTACACCTCGGAGGCATGCCTTCGTCGTCACCGCGTTCTATGGAAACGGGTCTCCGAACCACGTCGTGTCGCTCGGCCGAAAGGCGCTGCCTCGCAAGGCGCCCCGCGCTTCGAGCAGGATAATGGAGCGAAGGGGGTCGGCTCTTGCGAGCTCCACGAACAAATGTCTGCCTCACCCCTCTATCTGTCGGACGGTTTGAAGCATAGTGACCCACTCGACTGGTGAATGCCACAAAACGCAAACGATGCTTTCGTTGCGTTGATTGCCGTTTGGCAATCCGCGATTTTCCCGGTTGCTTTGCAGCCTTCGTTTTCTTTCGGCTTGTGCGGCGTCTTTTTCTTTTTGCACGTTGCCCAGTGCTCACTTTCGAGAAGTCCGCTTGCAACATTTGCTGAGCGGAACTTGTCTCGCCTGTCTCATCGGCTGTAAAGTCTATACAGTCGGGATTTTCCGTTAATTTGTGGACACCCTGACTTGCGGGAAACTTGACCGACGGCTGAACAATGCAAGCGTCTTCCTCAGGGCTGCGCCGCTCGCACCTGGGAGAACTACTTGCCCCAACATTGCCCAGCTCGCAGTGCGCGTCAGCACCCGACTGTGCCCCGCTCTCTGTACAGGGGTCCTCACCTACCGGGCCGGAGGTACTGCGAACTTCACATTTAGCTGCTATGGCGACGCACAAACAGGGTGGCTGTGCCAAGTCCATTACAGATGGCATTTCTGCATTAACAAGACTCTCCAGGCACAGCGCCTCGTTGCCATCACTGAGGCCTTCAGTGGCCTTTGTGGCCACAACGGGACTTTCAGCAGCTAACATTTTAGGTTCAGGAATGAACCTACTGTCCGCCTCCCAAGTACTACCGGCCTGCCCGGCCTTCGCCGGCTCTACACATTCGGGCTCTTTGCATCTTTTATGCATTACATCAAAAGCCTCAAACTCGCGCCGCCTGCTTTGAATCTTCAGGCGCAGTTTTCAACGTACTCATGGTACGACTGTGCCAACTTGTTCGGGGCATGGACGGTCGCGCTATTAGAAATTTCAGAGCCTGAGCAGGGGTCCGCCTGCGTAGCACACAGTCTCAAGCGCTCTTTTTCCCTCTGAATTCTAAGTCTTGAATTTTCTCGCTCCTGTTCCATCAAAAATTCCAGATGTTGCCTGTACTTAATGCGTTCGGCATCGCGCTCCTCTCTAAGTCTATTTCGTTCTTTTTCGACGAAATTATATAACTCCTTGCCTACAAAGCCAAAGGCTTTGCCCTGTTCAATAAGCTTATCAAACTGCGTGTCGTCCATTGCTATAAACAGTTGTCAACCAACAAAGCAATAAAAGGACGTCTACATACTGCACGCTCAGAGTTACGTCTGTCTCCCAGACATCACAACGCGGTCGGCCAGTCCTGTCGCGGACGCCAGATAATGTCACGCACTTCTGGTGAGGCCCCGCCGATCCAACATCGACGTGCGGCAGACTCGCAGGCTTCCGCTTTACGCTTCGGCCTGCGACGCCTGAAAGGCCTCGAAGTGGCACATTTCGAATTTATTTGCGGGTTGGCCGACCCGTGCGGGGTTGCACGTGTGGTGATGTGTGGGCCTGACCGACGCACTCATAGAGCAGACACAGAGTTTGATTACACTTAGACAAACATTTAATTGAAACAGGGGCCAAGGCAGGAGATTACAAAAATAACAAAGGAGGAAAAACTGATACGCGCGATAGAAACAACAGCTATATAACAAAAGGTGCTAAAAACACTACAACAGATACAGGCTAAGGACAAATATGCGGAACATTAATAAAATAACAACAAGATGGAAATCAAAAGAGAGAGACACTATAAATTAATTACAGAATGATCATGGTGGCGCTTTAGAATTTAAACGTGCGACGCAGCGCACACTACAAATATTTAAAAAAAAGGCTGGTTAAAACAAGTTTACGGTTTAACAAAAAAAGTCACAATAAAAAGTTCCATACGGACCAAACCAGCCCTTGGTGCACGTAGGGGAGTTGACGGGTGCCGCTGAAGGTCTCGCCGGCTTGGTAGACGACGAGGGTGCCCGGAATTGCAGCCGTCTCAATACGTTGCGCGGGTCACTCCGTGCTCGCCGCCTACGCGAGACTCGCGACACCGACGACCGCACTGGTTGCTGTCTGTACGTCAACTGCCTATGCCGATGCAGTCTAAACCTCTTCAGGGGCGTACACGTGTTCCCGTCTCATCTGGGAGTAATTCTCCTTGTTGAGACCACCGGTTCCCCTTCCGGTCAGGGGCAGGGAAGACGAGCCGGCGCCACACTGGGTCGTTATAGTCGCCGGATGTCGTCTCCCAACACAAAAACGCCCTTCCTTGGAAGATGGGGCCCGCGGATGCTCCGAAAATTGGAGTCGTTTGTGACACCTCCACTACGGCGTCTCTCATAATCATATGGTGGTTTTGGGACGTTAAACCCCACACATCAAGAATAAGACAAGTTCTGGGAAGATAGTCCTGGAGAGAAAAAAATATCTTTGAACGGGAGGTGTCGCTGGAGTCAACGTTCTGACTAGTGGTCTTGTTTTTGTCAAGAAACTGGCTGCAGCAACACCCCCTGTTGTTCAAGGTCCTTTCATTTTTTCAAGCTAATGTAATGGACTCCCATTAAACGAGCCCTGCCGCGGTGGTCTAGTGGCTAATGTACTCGGCTGCTGACCCGCAGGTCGCGGGATTGAATCACAGCTGTGGCGGCTGCATTTCCGATGGAGGTGGAAATGTTGTAGGCCTATGTGCTCAGATTTGGGAACCCCAGGTGGTCGGAAATTTT